TAGGTTTTTCTTTCACTATAACCAGTTAAACTTTTTTTTTTTAAAAAAAACCCTATCACTTCAACTAATGGAGTTGAGGGTGTTTCTTTCCTAGGATCCTGAGCTGAGGCAGGCCTAACAAAGGATATCTAAAAAAAAGGTTGAGAAACAGAGAGGAAAAGAGGAAGTGGCAGAAACTACAAGCCTGCAAATGGGCAAGAATCAGCTGCAAGTGATCAGCTGCATTCCCACTCATCCCGCCAATAAGAGTCACAGCACCAACCATAACCTGTTGTGACCAATAACCTGACTCACTTTACAGCATGACATTGGAATGTTATTAAGGCTGCAACTGGTGCAGTTGTGAGTCCAGGAGAACCCCTAAGTTGTGGACCAGATCTATCTGGAGTAGTGCCACCCTATCCAGAACTAATGATGCCAGAGTCCAATATCCCCAAGCTCCATGCACTCAAAGCCATTTGGTCTTGCCCGGGTTCAGCCAAAGCCTGTTGTCTCTAATTCAGCCCCCGCATAGTCTCCAGGCACTGTGAGAGGGCAGTAACAGCATCACTTGGGTTTTCAGGGATGGAAATATAGTGTTGAGTATCATCAATGTACTGATGATATCTCAACTCATGGTGATGGATGTTCTCACCCAGTGGCTTTTGTGGTACTGACTCTGTGGCATGCAGCAAGAGAGTGGCTGTGGGCTGGATCTCTCACTCCTTGTTAACATTGATTTGGACCGGCCTTGGAGAAAGAAGCCAAAACGGTTCAAGACTGTGCCACCTAGCCCCAGTCCCCATAGCTGGTCCAAAAGGATACCATGGTCAATGGTATTGAAAGCCACTGAGAGGTCAAGAAGAATGAAGATGGTTGCACTACCCCTACCCTGCTGTCACCAGAGATCATTCGTAAGTGTGACCAAAGCTGTCTCTGTCCCATAATGTTGTGGCCTGTCAGCAGCCTGTGCAGCTAGTAGCTGATTCCAACAGCAAGGAGGCTGGTGTGGTGCTGCGCCAGCAACCTGTGCAGCTGGCACTTGAGTCAGACAATGAGGAGGCTGGAGAAGATGTGGTGCCAGAGGCGGGGATTCAGCCAGGACCTTCAGAAACTCCAGAAGCTCCCATAAGTGAAGAGGAAGAAGAGGAGGAACCTCTTCTTGATGCACGGGCGCGCAGAGCTGCCAAAAGGCAGGAGTGGCTCTTCAAGAGGAGGGCTCCTCAAGAATAAGGCTTGGGGCTAATTGGCCACTCCCTTAGCCTATTTAAGGAAGGACGACAACTGAGGCAATTTGCAGGGAACAACTTTGTTCACGTTCCTTCGCGTCTTAATCTTGTTTCTCTTATCAGTTTTCTGCAAATTGCTTCTGGGCATTCTGCCAACCATAGTAAGATTACGGTTATTATTCTTTGGAGTCTTGTAGACTGTTAATGAAGTTAACAGCCTTTGTTCGCAAAAGACTGATTTAATTTAGTAAACTAAGGTTTGTACGGACTTTATGTGTGCTGCGTACTTTGGGGTCCGTAGCTGGGGCAGAACACATAACCAGGCCTGAATCCTGGCTGAAAGGGTCCAGATAATCCATTTCATCCAGGACCCACTGAAGTTGCCAAGCAACCACTTTTTCTACCATCTCCCCTAAAAAAAGAAGAAGGGAAACTGGATGAAAATTGTCCAGGCAGGCAGGATCAACTGATTTTTTATTTTTTTTTTAAGGAGGGAGCAAAACAGGGCATTATTAAAAGACCCCAGGAACATCCATTCTTACAGCGAGGAATTTATCACTGCCTGGACCACCTCCTAGTCACCATCCCGGAGGCTTTCACCAACCCAAAGGGACAAGGATCTCATTGACAGGTGGTTTCAATGACAGCGTTGAACACCCTATACAATTCCTCAGTTCCAGCAGGATTGAACTGTTTCCAGATAACCAAATAAGACCTTTTCTCAGGCATCTCATATGGATCTGCACCCCACATGGGTTCCAGCTGGGAATGAATCCAAGCAACTTTGTCCATCAGGTGTTGAACAAATCCTTCTGTACGACCCTCAAGATGATTACCCAAGCCCACCTATCCCAGGAGGGACTGAGTGATCTGGAACAGGGCTGCTAGGCGACATTCTGCAGATTCAACAAAGGTAGAGAAATAATACTGTTTTGTCATTTTTACCACCTTAATATAGGCCTGAATAGCAGTTCTAAGTCATGTCCAGTCAGAGGCATCTTTGATTATCTTCCAATGGCCCTCTAGGCATCTCTTAATCCAGGGATCCCCCATCCCCACTGTGGACCAACACAGGTTTGCAGCATGCCAGAAACTGGGCCTCACAAACAAGTGAAGCTCCATTCACTGGATGCAGGCAGCATGTGAAACCGTGTCCTCTCCGGTCTACAGAAAAGCTTCTCTCTCTATGGAACCAGACATTGGTGCCCAAAAGGTTGGGTGCCACTGTCTTAATCCTTTTCAAAACCTTCAACTCCTCGATTGAGGAACTATTCTGAAATTAACTAAATAGTTGGTGTTTTGGAGGGGATCAAGCTGAGAATTAACCAAATAGAATACGCTGGAAGATAGTTAAATATTAGAGGGAGATATAATGGAAAATATATTAGAAATTGGAGTAAATAAAATATGTCTTTGTGAGAAATCTGTGTACTATGTAAACTGGGAGAAAAAAAACTAAGGTAAACTGATTTGAGGATAAGGGTCAAAGGATTAAAATTAGACAAAATGTTGTTTTATAAAATATAATAAAAATGGAGTGGTATTGAATTGAAATTAAGAATAAATGGTGATAAAATTGTAAGGTAAATACTTAACAAGAGGTTAGAATATTGTAAAAATTATTTTGATATGACTTGTATAAGATATAAGGTAAAGAAGAATAAAGATACGTTTAGAATTGTTATGCAGATGTAAAAATGAGTGAAAGTGAATTTGAAATTAATTTTGGATAGATATAATGGATTTATATAGATGAAAATGTTAAATTTGAGTTAAAATTGGTTTTTTTTAAAGTTTTGAATTTTTTTTATCTTCTTTTCTTTTCTTTTTTGTTTACTTATAAAAGATGTAATGGAAATTGTGAATTGAGCTTGTGAAAGGAATGTAAGTGTGGTAACCATCTATGAGCGGATCGAAATTTTTGCTCTTGAAAGTTATGTTTTATGTTCAAATTTGGAAAAAAATAAATAAAAAATATTTACAAAAAAAAAAAACCTTCAACTCCTCCATGAAACATGGGTAGCATCAGGAATGATGGGTCAAGAGAGGCCGCATAGATGAAATCCTGTTCCTAACCTGGCTTTACAAACCCACCACACAGTGTTTGGACTCTGAAGCACAAGCATCCTGCTTGAGGAGACAAAACATAACTCAAGGGAGATGTCAGGGTAATGAAGATTTAAAGATGACCAGCTGCTGTAAGGCTGTGGGCCAGGATGATGGACTGGGGATGAGTCAGCAGGGTTATTGTCGCTTTAAGACTGAGGATGAGTCATCAGAGTTATTGCTGCTTTAAGAAGATGTCTATATAAGGGAGGCCATGAGAGGGCATCTCTCTCTCTCTCCTCGTGTATCACTCTCCTCGTTGTGTTCTACCTGCATTGTAGTTCTCCGTGTAGAGTTGAAGGTTGATTGATTACCTGGTATGTGCCTACCATGTGTATGTATGTATATAGAAGTCTTGTATATAAACCACTGTTTGTAAGACAAACCCCTGTGTCCTGTATTTTGCTCCTGGGTAGTCTCAAAATAGTAATCACGCTGTAAACACTCTGACAGGAGAGAACACTCATGCCCTTGACGTGATGTCCTGTTGCCTGGAGGCCGTGCGGATCTGGATGGGGAGGAACAGGCTCAGAATCAACCCCTCCAAGACTGAGTGGCTGTGGTTTCCGACGTCTTGATATAGCCAGCTAATACCATCGTTGGCTATTGGGGATGAGATCTTACCCCCCTCTGAGAGGGCTCGCAACTTGGGCGTCCTCCTGGATTCACGGCTGTCTTTAGATGATCATATGATGGCCGTGGCCAGGGGGGCTTTTTATCAGGTTTGCCTGATTTCCCAGTTGCGTCCCTTTCTGGATCAGGACGCCTTGCGCACAGTCACTCACGCCCTTGTCATTTCCCGTCTAGACTATTGTAATGCTCTCTACATGGGGCTCCCCTTGAGGAGCACCCGGAGGCTCCAACTGGTCCAGAATGCAGCTGCGTGAATGATAATGGGGGTGACTCATCGCGCTCATGTAAAACCCCTCTTGCACAAGCTGCACTGGCTCCCGGTGGTCTTCCGGGTGTGCTTCAAGGTGTTGGTTACCACCTTTAAAGCGCTCCATGGCTTAGGACCTGGTTACTTACAGGACCGCATTCTGCCACCATTTTCCTCCCACCGACCGACATGCTCCCACAGAGAGTGCCTCCTCAGGGTGCTGTCAGCCAAAAAATGTCGACTGGTGACCCCCAGGGGGAGAGCCTTCTCTGTAGGGGCTCCTGCCCTATGGAATGAATTGCCCCCGGACATACGAAGGATCCCTGACCTCCGCGCCTTCCGTCATGCTCTGAAGACCCTATTATTTCAGCAAGCCGGTCTGATGGGATAAATGATTTTAAATTGGGTTTTAAAAGTGGTTGAAAATGATTTTAATTGGAAGTTTTAATTTTGGCCAAAGATTGAATTGTTTTAATATGTTTTTTAAATTTTGTCTTGTAGGTTGTTTTATCATGGCTGTTCACTGCCCTGAGTCCTTCGGGAGAAGGGCGGTATACAAATATAATAAAACTAAACTAAACTAAACTAAGTCACAAATAGGACAGAAATTTAGGCGTTCCCTCCTACAGATTTTTCTCCAAGAGAATCAGAGCTGGCTGTGAGAGAAGACAATCTTTCTTTTCTTCACTTTCATACAATACAGGAATGATAGACTCACTGCAATTTCCTAAGATTTGCTGAAAACAAAAAATCCAAAAGACCATAAAGGGTTTAATCCCAGAAAAAAAGAGCAAAGAGACTAAACAGACTGTCAAATCCAAATATTTGGATCCTTTATGTTTTGGTGTAATGTGACACAAAGCCTTTAATGTGGTATCTATGGAGATTCTCAATCATCCAGATATATATAAAACTTGCAGTGCCGAATCACAGAAATGTAACACCAAACCCTGATCCACTGGCTACAGAAAGGCAGGTCAATATATAGAAAGGTCCAAATAATAATTTTAGATTCTAATTCTGAAAAATTAATCAGACTATGTGGATATAAAGAATAAGAAATACCTACAGTAGGTAACCATACATAAAAAATAAGTGTGAGAACTGAAATACGACTCGTAGATTTGAATACATTTTTTAAAAGCCCAGAATAAAAATATACATTTTTCATTACAAGATTTTTTAGAACACAAACTTTGTGTGAAATGGTGACATTGTGGAAAAAATATGTATTAGAACCAGTTGCTGACCTAAGTTTTCACAGTTAGCTGCTCCTTTGCATTCAGATCTGGTCTTATCAAAATAATGTAGCATTTGGGCATGAAGATGCAGGCCAGCAGGCCAGCACTGGAGGCCAAGATGGAGAAGATCTGCACAGCCACCATGTACTTCCCTTTGGTGCTCAGGTAGGCTGGCACAAAGGAGACCCAGACGCTGCAGAAGACCAGCATGCTGAAGGTGATCAGCTTGGCTTCATTGAAGGCCCCAGGCAGATTCCGGGCCAGGAAAGCCACTATAAAACAAATGGCTGCCAGGAATCCCATGTAACCGAGAGCAACATAAAACATGGTAAGAGACCCTTCGTTGCACTGAAGCACAATCTTTCCTGGTTGAGACTGCATGTCAGAATCAGGGAACGGGGGAGAGACCACCAGCCAGATGCTGCAGATGACCACCTGGACACCGGAAGAAGAAAGGATGATGGAGTTGGTCAAACTCTTTCCAAGCCATTTTCTCACTCTGTTTCCTGGCTTTGTGGCCAGAAAAGCCAGCACAACTGTGATTGTTTTGGCCAAGACAGAAGAGACGGCCACTGAGAAGATGATGCTGAAGGTCGCTTGTCGGAGAAGGCAGGTGGCTCTCTTTGGTCGTCCAATGAAGAGAAATGCGGAGAGGAAGGAAAGCAGGAGAGTGGCAAGGAGGATGTAAGAGAGGTCCCGGTTGTTGGCTTTGACAATGGGAGTTTCTCTACATTTAATAAAGATTGCTAAGACAAGGGTAGTAATTAAGGTCAAAGAGGATGCAAGAGAAGTTAAGATGGTCCCCAGATTGTCACTGAAGGCCAGATAAGTTATTTCCTTAGGGAGACATTTATCTCGCTCCTTATTTGGATGTTGATCTTCTGGACATTTGGTGCAATAATCTGCATCTGAAGAGAAGAAAAATAGTACTTATCATCTCCTGTTATGTCTAGATTTTCTATCCCACCACCAGAGATGGTTCATGGCTAAAAGAAAACAGAAAAACCAAAGGTACAATTGTAAGGACTGTGTTCAACTGTATTAAATCCCAGGGCATCTTTCTGTTTTTCAGTGTGGGAGTTCAGATTAATGAGTTGCCAGTTCGTCAAGCATCTTTCTTCTTCAGGTTAATCTTATTAACATGTATGTCTTGTTTAGTAACCAGGCATCACCACCAGATGGATTTGCACCTGGCTGACCAACCGCACTTAACATGTAGTCCTTGAAGGATCTGCATATCTGTGGAGGGAAGTATGCAGTGGGGTACACCAAGGCTCTGTCTTAGCCCAATACTCTTCAATGTCTTCATCAATGTTTTAGATGAGGGGATAGAAGGGGAACTCATAAAATCTGCAGATGACACCAATAGCCAACACCTTAGAAAATATGCTCAAGATACAGAAGGATCTTGACTAACTTGAACTGCTCCCTATCTACAAAAATGAAATTCAATGGTGAAAAAAATAAGGTTCTACATTTAGGCAACCCCCCCTTCCCCAAATATGCTCCATCACTGGAAGTTTTCAAGAAGAGATTGGACTGGGCGGGGTTTGATGTCCCTGCGATAGAGATACAGAGGAATCCATCTCCATGTTCCCTGTGCTGAATTCTTCATGTTTGGGGGTTCTGGAGAGAGCCTAAGCCACTCTGAAGGAGAGGTGAAGTAAAGGGGGGGGGCACCCTGTGAGGTCGGGGAAAGACATAGCTCTCCTGTCTGGCCTGGGTTTTTTATTTCCACTTAGCCATGGCAAGAAGAAGTAGCAGCCTAAAGATGGCTGCTGCAAAGCAGGGACAAACTGAAAATAACAGCTAAGATTGGTGCTGGAGAGAAGAATGTGAGCCTTGGTGGAACTGAGGGAGAGGATCTTTCTCATGTTTTAAATTGAATTCCAAGAAATAATTAAAACTTTTGGCCAGAACTGAGTATTAAAGTGGCCTCTAAGCAATTTGGGGCATTTTTTTTTAAAATACCAAACTGGAATGAAAGCTGTAAGAGAATAAACAACAGATTATGAAATAATAGACTCCTAAACTGGGAAGAAGTGCTACTGGTAAGGTATTTTTAAACATTGGATTTATCTACATGTTTAAAAAAAGAAAGAAAAAAACCCTTACTTTTGCTTCATATTTCCTGTACAACGCAAGGACAATACTGACTGAGTGCAGCCACATGTTTACTGGACCCGTGTCCCTCCTGGTTGGTACTGGCCTCCCGGGAGGTGACGCGAGGCTGGCTCCAGGGGATTATAAATGCTTCTTTGAGTGAGGGTGTCTTTCCCGCCGCCTTGAAAGAGGCGGTGGTGAGGCCCCTCCTCAAGAAGCCCTCCCTGGACCCGGCTGTGTTAGCAAATTATCGTCCTGTCTCCAACCTTTGCTTTGTTGCGAAGGTTGTTGAGAGTGTGGTTGCATGACAGCTGCCTCAGTACCTGGATGAATTGACTTATCTAGATCCGTTCCAGTCAGGCTTCAGGCCCGGGTACAGCACAGAGACGGCATTGGTCGCATTGGTTGATGATCTCTGGAGGGCTCGGGACAGGGGTTGCTCCTCTGTCCTGGTCCTATTAGACCTCTCAGTGGCTTTTGATACCATCGACCATGGTATCATGCTGCACCAGCTGGAAGGGTTGGGGGTGGGGGGCACTATTTTACAGTGGTTCTCCTCCTTTCTCTCCGACCGGTCGCAGTCTGTGTTGACAGGGGGGCAGAGGTCGACCCCGAGGCCCCTTGTATGTGGGGTGCCACAGGGATCTGTTCTCTCGCCCCTTTTGTTCAACATTTATGTAAAGCCGCTGGGCGAGATAATCCGTGGTTTCGGGGTGAAGTACCATCAGTATGCTGATGACACCCAGCTGTACATCTCCACCCCAGATCACCCCAATGATGCCCTCGAGGTGATGTCCCGGTGCCTGGAGGCCGTACGGATCTGGATGGGGAGGAACAGACTCAGGCTCAACCCATCCAAGACCGAGTGGCTGTGGTTTCCGACGTCCCAATATAGTCAGTTGGTGCCATCTCTGACTATTGGGGGTGAGTCGTTGGCCCCCACAGATGGGGTTCGCAACTTGGGCGTCCTCCTGGACTCGCGTCTGTCTTTAGAAGAGCATATGGCGGCCGTGGCCAGGAGGACTTTTTATCAGGTTCGCCTGATTCACCAGTTGCGTCCCTTTCTGGATCGGGACTCGTTACGCATGGTCACTCACGCCCTTGTCACCTCATGCCTGAATTATTGCAATGCTCTCTACATGGGTCTCCCCTTGAGGAGCACCCGGAGGCTCCAATTGGTCCAGAATGCGGCCGCGCGGGTGGTAATGGGAGCGATGTGGCGCTCCCATGTGACCCCCCTCCTGCGCGAGCTGCACTGGCTCCCAGTGGTCTTCCGGGTGCGCTTCAAGGTTTTGGTTACCACCTTTAGAGCGCTCCATGGCTCAGGACCAGGGTACTTACAAGACCGCCTTCTGCCACCAGTAGCCTCTCACCGACCAGTTCGCTCCCATAGAGAGGGGCTCCTCAGGGTACCGTCAGCCAAACAATGTCGACTGGCAGCCCCCAGGGGGAGAGCCTTCTCTGTGGGGGCACCTGCCATCTGGAACGAGCTCCCCCCGGAGGATCCAAGACTTACGCATCTTCTGCCGCGCCCTAAAAAATTTTTATTTCAACAGGCTGGTCTGGCCTAACTCTCCCTTTTAAATTGGCTTTTAAATTGGGTTTTAAATGTTTTTTAGATAAATTGGATGTTTTTAATTTGTTTTTGAGCCTAAATTATTTAATCTGTTTTTAATAGTTTTTTAACTTTTGTATGTCGTTGTATTTTATTTTGGCTGTTCACCGCCCTGAGTCCTTCGGGAGTAGGGCGGTATACAAATATGATAAAAAAAAAAATACACTGGTAAACTAGTGACTGAAATTTAAATGGAGAGTGCCACCTGCTGACAAAAGAGAAAACTGCAAAGAAGTGATCTATATATAGACAATTGAACCCCTTGAAGGGAAATCTAAAGAAATCATATTTGGACTGTTGGAGAAAAATCAATCTTCTTAAAAAAATAAGATACAATGAGTGGAATTGTTCAGGAGATGGGATCGCTTTATCAAAATCTTCTTTGATTTTTTCAAAAAAAAAAATTTTTTTTTTCTGACAGACACAAATCCTTCTCTAGGATTGATTTCATTTTGTTGTCAGATGACTTACTTGTCAAGACAAAAAGAACAAAGATTTTTCCAAGAACTTTGACTGACCATAGCCCAGTATGGATAGAAATTGAGATGGATAAGGTTGAGAGACGTTCTTGGAGATTAAATGAGAATTTGTTTAGATACGAAAAAAATATAACAGAACTTAAAAAGCATTTGAAAGAATTTTTTGAAATAAATTTGAATAAAGGTACCCCAATTGAAATTGTGTGGGATGCAAGTAAAGCTTATATGAGAGGGGTACTTATCTATATGAACTCTAAACATAGACTGTTTCGACAAAAGAAAAGATCTGAATTGGAAATAGAAATAAAGAATAAAGAACAGTTACTTATTAAAAATCCAACAGATGAAAGAATATGTAGTGCTATAAAACTGTTGAAAGACCAATTTCAAATGCTTATGGTGGAACAAGTTGCAACAAACTTACAATATGCGAAGCATAATACATTTTGTAACGCCAATAAACCGGGCAGATGGTTGGCTTACACATTGAGGAAAAAACAAAGTATACGGACTATTGATAGTATTGATATTGGAGGGAAAGAAATTGTCAGATGTAAATGCCTTATTCTCCAATGTGTAAATAATGTATATTATGGAACATCAGAGGTTAACTTATTCTTTGGACTTTAATGTATTCATAACTTACCACTCCCATTCCTAGCTCCACCCCTTGTATATATAAGGAGCCACCCTCACCATTCTTGCTGCTTCTACCTTGAATATTCAGTGAATATAGAATGCCTATCATAATTAAAAAGAAATATATTTAAAGCTCTAACTCCTATTATTTTTATTGAGTCTGATCCTGAAAATATTGCAACAAGCTGGTAGCAGAGGATGGTTAATTGACTCAATAAGTAATTAAAAATGTCAAAGAAAGATAGGCCCAACACCAGGGCCTACAGCAAAGAAATAGAAACTGATCAAGAGATGATCAACGAATCCACCAATGCGATTTCGAGAGAATCCGAAGAATACACCACTGAAGAAGAAGAACTAATGAGTGAAAATAATGACCAGAAAGAAATCGAAATAGAAAATAACGAACTCAGGTCAGAGATATTAAAGATACTAAAAAGCCAAAAGAATGATGAAAGTCTCATCGCGGACCTCCAGGAGATGCTGAAGAACAGCGGAGCAGCGAGAGAGAAAAACGTCATTAAAGAAAAACCCAAAGATCAAAAAACCGTAAGTGAGATGACTACTGAGAAAATAGTTGTTAAAAAGAAAAGATGTGATCCCGCGCGAAATTTTGAATGGCAGCCATCTTGGTTTCAACAACGAACTTCAAAAGAGAATGGAGCAGAGCCAATCAAAACGCTCAGTTCAAAATTTCTGGCGCGAAAAACACTATCAGACGAAGAAAGTGAGAAAGAAGTCTCAAACTCTTCAGATGATCCAAAATCAGAAAGTGAAGACGATTTAACAAAATCTCAAGTAAAATCAGCAATGAAAACGCTTTTTGCTGCTTTTGGGCCAAGACTGAAAATTACCAAGACATCTACGAAGAAGCAAGAAATCAAACCGGCGACTCAAGACCTGCACGCTCCCATCCTGATTTCGAAAGCGACAACGCCCGAGCCCAGAGAGCCATGCCGATTTCGCCCTACACCACAGACAAGATCGAATACCAACGCACACAAAAAGAAGAAAAGAACCGTCGCCACCACCAGAACCCCAAAAACCGAGCCAGAGACCGACTCATCTGAGG